ACTGGGAGAGGGGGAAGGGGAGAGGGGTTGGGGGACAAAGGGACCCGGTGGGCGGGAGCGGGGACGGCGCTGGGGACACCCCTGTCGGGGATGTGGGAGCCCCAAGGGTCCCGGGAGGGCACCCAGGGACCGGGGGGCTGCGGGGGGCACAGTGGGGGTCCCGTCCCACCCGGAGCCCTCCCCGCAGGGCCCAGGTGAGAGCGAGTACTCCGAGCCCTTCGAGGGGGAGCAGGACTCGGCGCCCGAGGGCGGCTGCGACGAGGAGGCCACAGGTGGGTGGTGACACCCCGGGCACCCCCAGCCCCCCGCGGGGGTCCCGGGCGCCTCCCACCGCCCCGTTCCCCATCCCCAGGGTGCCCGCGGCAGGGCGAGGGCCGGCGGGTGCGGCCGCGCCGGGGTCCCCAACTCTACGACACCCCCTCCGAGGAGTGGGACACGGCCGGGGACAGCCCGGGGGGACCCCCGGCCCGGGAGAGCCGCCTCCCCCGCGACGATGAGCGCCCGGCCGACGAGTACGACCAGCCCTGGGAGTGGAAGAAGGATCACATCTCACGGGCGTTCGCAGGTGACAGTCCCCGGGTGCCACCTCAACTCCCATGGGTGCCACTCCTGGCTCCCTCCTCCTTGTGGGAACCACCCCAGGGTCCCCCAGCCCTACATCCCGCATCTTCCATGTGTCTCAGTCCTGGCCCTCAGCATCCCCAGCACCCTGGGGTCCCCCCCATATCCCCTGGTGGGTGCAGCTCTCACCCCTGCCACCCCTGTGGGTACCCCCTAGAGCACTCCTGGCCCCAGCAATGGGACACCACAGCAGGGCAGGGCCACCTCTGGGTCACTCCTTGGTGGCACTGAGAGGAGGCGGGCAGGGTGGGTGGGTGACACCCCTTTGTCCCTGCAGTGCAGTTTGAGAGCCCTGAGCGCTCCCCCAGCCTGTCCCGGCAGGTGCCACGCTCCCCCCGGGCCCCCGGCGGCCCCCGGCCCGGCTGTCCCCCCAGCCCCAGGCACGTGGACACCTCGCTGCCCCTGGAGAAGCAGGCGTGAGTCTGGGGGCATCCCGTGGGGTGGCACCACCAGCATCCCGGTCACGCAGCATGGCACGGGGGCAAACCTGGGGCGGAAGAGGTCCCCACGGGTGGGTCCTTGTGGGGTCAAGGGCTCTTTGACATGGATGGGTCCCCAGGGGGTGTGGAGGGCCCCATGTCCTGGGTGAATCCCCATGGGGTTGGGTGCTCCACAGGGTCTTGAGCGCCCCATGGCATGGTTGTGTGGCCCACAGTGTGTTTGGGTATCCCATGGCGTGGTTGGCATGGTTGGGTGCCCCATGGAGTGTCTGGGTGCCCCATAGGATGCTTGGATGACCCATGGCATGGTTGGGTCCCCCATGGTGCATTATTGTGCCCCATGGCGTGGTTGGGTGCCCCATGGCGTGGTTGGGTGCCCCATGACGTGGTTGGGTCCCCCATGGCATGGTTGCCCCTCCGACTCCCCTGGGTGCCAACGCCCTGACTGCCTCCATGACGTGGAAGGTGCCCCATGGCACAGGGGGTCCCTGTGGGGTGTGGGGGTTCCCCAAGCCGCAGCGGGTGCCCCGCATTGCTGATGGGTCCGAGCAGCCAGGAGGGTCCCCCCGTGGCACAGGGGGTGCCCGTGTGACCCCGCTGTGCCCAGGTGGTACCACGGCCCCATCGGGCGGGCGGGCGCCGAGACGCTGCTGGCGCTGTGCCGCGAGGGCAGCTTCCTGGTGCGGGACTGCGAGACCAGCCCCGACGACTACTCGCTGTCCCTCAGGTGAGCGTGGGCACACGGGCACAGCCCCGGGCCCGGCCCTGCCAGGGAGGCCGTGCCAGGCTGGCGGTGTGGGGTTGGATCAGGGTGGTACCGCGTTTGGCTGTCCCGGCGTCCGTGGGGATGTGCTGGCACGTCACCATGCATGGGACAGGCTGGAGGTGACCCAGGATCCCTCAGCTGGGGCAGTGCCACCCCCTGCCTCTGCTCTGGATGGGGTCCCCATTACTGTCCTCATCCCCACTGCTGTCCACATGTGAGCCTCAATCTCCATGCCAGTCCTCAGCCCTATTCCCAGTCCCTGTTCCCATTCCTATTCCCATCCCAGGTGTCCTCCACCCTATCCCCATCCCTAATCCTATCCTTGTCCACCTCCCTGTTTGAGCCTCCAACCTGCTCCTCATTCCTGTCCCCATCCTCATTCCCATCCCATCCCATGGATCCCATCCCATACCATGGATCCCATCCCATGGATCCCATGGATCCCATCCCATGGATCCCATCCCATGGATCCCATCCCATCCCATGGATTCCATCCCATCCCATCCCACGGATCCCATCCCATCCCACGGATCCCATCCCATCCCATGGATCCCATGGATCCCATCCCATGGATCCCATCCCATGCCATGGATCCCATCCCATCCCATGGATCCCATCCCATGCCATGGATCCCATCCCATGGATCCCATGGATCCCATCCCATCCCATGGATTCCATCCCATCCCATCCCATGGATCCCATCCCATGCCACAGATCCCATCCCATCCCATGCCATGGATCCCATCCCATGGATCCCATGGATCCCATCCCATGCCATGGATCCCATCCCATGGATCCCATCCCGGTTCCCGTGCCTCATTTCCCGTCCGTCCCGCAGGAGCAGCCAGGGTTTTGTGCACGTGAAGCTGACGCGGACCCGGGAGCAGCACTTCACGCTGGGCCGGGCCGGGGCCGCCTTCCCGTCGGTTCCGGCGGCCGTGGGGCACTACACGGCCCGGGCGCTGCCCGTGCGCGGTGCCCGCCACCTGTCCCTGCTCTACCCCGTGGCCGTGCAGCCCCTGTGACCCCCC